TGACAGGAATTTACAACACAACAATCACGTTCTATATACTTTTTTTACTCAGATTCCAGTAGCAGAAGTACATCTGTGCTCCTGTGCATTTGCCAGATAAACCAAGGCCACAAACCCCCATTTCATTCTCTGAGAAAAAAAAAAAAAAAATCGTTGTGCAGATTGAATCATAGTAAAACAAAAACATACTCTATGTTGAAACCATTATAATAAACACATGGACAGTAGTGTAACTTTTTTTGTGCAGATTGGAAAATTAAAATGGCACCATTGAGATTTGAGTTCTGCTGTAAACTGTGTGGAGTTGAGGTGCTAGCTCTTGAGCATGTAGTGTTTGCAGGTTTGTGTGGTGCGTGTTCTCTCAGTCAACCAGTGGGCAAAGCTCTCAGAAAGCCAAAGAGTGGACTCTGCTGTCCACAGTGGTAGCACCTTTTAAATGTATTTATTCAGCACCAGGTTATAAACAAAAGATAAACAAAGGATTACAACGAAAAGAAGAAAATGCACCAATTTGTCATCTGCTTCAACTAAACAGATGGTTGTGACAGAAAGATACACACTTGATTTAAGTCAAATGTTACAATGGCCTGCTGCTACACATTAATGCAGAAATCAGGGTTTGTTGTACAGTCAAGAGCACTTACATGCTAAATGTTGCGGGTCACCTCACAATGAGTTCTAAAGGCATGCTGGGAGGTGGCACAAAAAACAGGAAATGAAGTTATTCAAAAGTGAATCGGTGGTCGGGCTTGCTTCATCATTCCATTGTATGAAAATTTTACAGATTTTTGCACCTTTCGTCATCATAGACTTCTTCCATGTTTTATTCCGACTGCAGGCATTATTGTTTTGGCTAGAGGATGTATTGTTTACACGAGACAAACGACACAGAAAGTTCACGTCTTGGCACTACAAATCATTCATCATTTGCAAGACAGAAGAAGATGTAAAGGCATAGACAAAAGTACAAAACAATCATTGACCAAATTGTTCACTGTAATGGCTGGCACCTGTTTATGACTACCCATCCAGCAGTGTAAAACTAATGCTTTTCGGTTCAGTCCTAACTGCTAGTTGTAGCTTGCTTAATCAGCAAGGCTATAGCGATTCACCTTACTCAAACATAATAAAGATGAGGAACCCTACGTTCAAGTAAAGAAGATGTTCAGTATTGCCTTACTATTTCTCCTATGTCTCTGAAAGAACCAGTAGCTGAGTTTTATACAATACCCAAACTACATGGTTGTCGATGACAACTTGGATGAAATTATAAGACTAAATATGACGTGTAAGCTGACAGGATTGTGAACTTGACTCGATTTGTTTTTGTGGAGACACACAGGGAATATTGTTTGGTGTTGTCATCTTGGTGAGCGTGCTGGCACATGTAACGAGTAAAGAAAGACATTGGCATTGTTGTTTTGCGTACCTGGCTGCCATGGCTGGATTGAAGCACCCAAAGTGACAAGGCACAACAAGGACTGAGAAGAACAAGCTTGCTGTTCAAACGCTCTTGCTGTGTGTTGTGGCTGTCGAGGGATGTGGAAGTTGGGCAGGTAACCGGACAGAAACGAATCACTGTCGGGGATATCTCCGTGACCTTGTTCATGGAATAAAGCGCGGTTGCCTGAAAACTACACTGAACGGTATAGAAGCGGCTTCCACTTGCACTCTTATTTAGCTTAGCTCTTGAAACCCGTGTATAATTTAAAGAACACAAGAAAAATATATAAAAACTAAAACCCACTTATTTTCCGGCTTCTACCTAATCCTTTTTACTATAGATACAGTGGCAAAATGGTGATTTCTTTCTGTAGAAATATGTAAAATATAGCGCATGTTTCATAAAAATCCAGACTTGTAGATATAGACTCTTTGTAGACTTAATTAAATTCATTTCTAATATTCCATTGACACACTTGCGCAAGCATAAATACTCTGCGTTTTATACGACATTAAGCACCACTGATGAAATGCAACCTACTTGTACATAATCTTGTCTATGATGCTATGTAACACTGTTTTCCTACACACACAAATAAATCGATGAATCACAGTGTATTTGCACCTGATTTGGACACATGTCCATGTCTGAAAAAAGGTCAGCAGTGTTTTTAATAAGGATGCCAGGCAGCCAACTACCACAATTATAAGAATGAGTTAACCGTTCCCAAAAAAACAAAATGTGCAAACCATAATTTAGTCGTACAATCCCAGCCGAGGAGTGGTCCAGGATGCAATAATGTTAAGGAAAAAAATGGAGACCCTTGAGGACATGCCTGGGGATGAGAACTGCATTGAGACACCCCTGAGTCAGCTGGTTCAGTGGTCTTGTTTGTTGGTCCTGAGGAGCCCCTGTATTTTGCTTAGTTTTTTTTTTTTAGTTTAACAATAATTCATTATTCATTTATTGACTAACTATTAACATGGCTGTTCATTCACTACAACAGAGATGAATTACTCTGGCTACTATGGTAAACAATGAACGAGTTGGTAGTTTGCATACACATGTATATCTATACATATGGTGTGTTGGATGTTTGCTCCACCCTAGCTGACCCAACGTTCTCAATTACTCAGGGCTGAACATCGCTTTTTAAGCTGAAGGGTGGCAGACCCTGGATGTTGAAGCTCTTGGTTATGGCAGTGTACCTCATTGCATGTTCTCATGTCAGGATCTCCAGTTGTTCAGCCTCAACCCCGTTGTTCAGTTACCAGAGAGTGTGAGTGTTTCACGGGAGCGTGCCAAGGCCCAGCACCATAGAGATGGGGGAGAGGGCGGAGCAGCAACCAAGGATGGAGTCGAACAACCGGCGAGAGAACAGAACCGTGGGAAAGGGCTGAGCAGACGCACAGACAAGCGTGTGCACACACTCGCCACCATGCAGGCATACTTAGATCCTCTAACAATACAGACTGCAGGATGTGCAATACAGGCAACACACGCATACTTTCTCACATAACCACACAGGGAATCACACACCACACTCCAGTCAGGCCCTTTTCCACGATTTGTCCTTGTGTTCTTTTCCAACCCCGGCAAAAACCCCCTCTCACCTTTATCCTGGGCTTACTTGGCATCTGCTTTTTTACAGTACGATGTTAGCAGGCAAACTTGGCCACAGCAAAGCAGTAAGCCAGTGAGCCAGGAAAAAGGAATCTCTGTGTTGTGAAGGGCTCTTGGGCCGCCGTTGTTGGGTGCATTTGTACTAATGCCACATACTAAAGTCATGCCAAACAGTACAATGTAAAAAACACATATTATATATTCAGATGAACCATTAAGTTAATTGATAACATTAGAGTGTGAAATGCATTCATTTTTCTCCTGAATTGCTCATTCGCCCTCTCTGGAAATGTGAGTCAAGCTCCTTTGACATGGAAGGCGTTTTTTTGTAGTTTAACCTTGGTCTGGGTGTCAGAGGGGGGGAGCTACTGTCGGTTCAGCCGGCAGATGTATATCAGTGTGTAACTGCGCTACACAGCAAGCCTATAGATGGCACACGTTTTGCATGGATTCATTCTACTGGTAGAAGGGGGCAGATAAATTGGAAATACAGCTCTGTATGATGCGATTTGGCTTTGTTTCAACTGCAACTGCCAGAACAGTGGCCCTGTACACACATTTATACCTATAAGAGCATCACTTCTTTGAGGGCACACTAATGTTGAGGAGTATATACTTTTAAACACTGCAACATGTTGTGTTATGTAAAAAAGTGTGTGCTCTGGCAAAATATAGTTATGTCAATGACTATAAATGTGGACACAAATACGCACTGAAGTATAATAGCATTGAAATATCTTCTCAGATTTATCATATTTTTTCCTCAAGAACTTATTACAAGTCTTTTTGCGCCCAAAAAGCATATATTAATCAACCTTAAAACAAGTGTTGATAAGACAACAAAATAGGGAGGTTGGAAAAGGGAGAATTTTCTAGGATTCAGAAGGGAATGGTGGAGGATTCCTTGAAGGCTGTCTTTGCACTTAAGAAAAGTGCGTGTTAACATACATTTGTACCCTTCTACCCTTTACTAAACACCTACAATCTTTACAAAAGTCTTTGGAATGTTTTTAACTATGATTTTACACCCACCAATTGACAAAACATTGTGCTCATTTCATATTTCTCTACATTCCTTTCATTGTGTTCTTTGTCCAACTCAAGTTGATGTTTTAATATTTTGTGCTGTCTCAACTGGACAAAACTGGCCAATTAAGGCTTGCTGTTACAGCTTGCCTCCACTGGAGGGCAGTCTGCACTGTGAAAATTGAACGTGGGTGGAACTGATTGAAGGTCAGTGTGCTTCTCTTTTCTTCCATACATGATGTGATTACCATTAAGGATTTTGAGCAAAAATAGCACAGCCAGGAAAGACTTGAGCCACGTGGGCTCACAGAGTGAAAAGCCATTTTGAATTGCTTGTCTCAGACACACATGTGCTCTGGATTTACAGTATCATGATGGAACTTTCAGTGCTTTTGAATTCACGGGCTCTGGACTCGGTAAACATTAACATACATTTCGATGATGTACATAAAGAATGGCAGTAAATGTTACAATGTGCAAAGACCTGCCTCCTCTGAGATTCTCCTCCATCATTCCCATCAGGCTTTGCGTCAGTCCCATGTCACAGGGACATACAATGTGCCCTTCACAAGTATTCACAGGTAGAATCACCAATACAGTATAATGCATTAAACACATTTCATAATGAAACATTCATATGTTATCTACACACTCATACAGAACGTTCCTGTATGCAGAGGGATTTATATGAGACTTCTGTATATATCACATAAGATACTGTAGGTTCAAAATTTTCTCTCTGTACTGAAAATAAATCATGACCGTGTGTTTTGTCTGGACATATTTTTGCCTGACAAAACCCACATTTACTGCAGGAAAATTGAAAGATCATAGAGGAGAGAAGGAGAGAGCCAAATGTCAAATGGAAAGAGATGGTGTCTGAAGAGGAGGAAGAGCAGAGTGAAAGAACGGAAACGTATGTGCATCGTTGTGTGTAAGAGGAGGGGACAGAGCTGTGGGAGAGGATGCCTTCAGAGAGAAGATTCATACTGCAGGAGTTCATAAAGAAGCGGGCCGTCCCTATACCTGATGCCCACTGCATTTGGGCTAATGTACTGCAGCACATTTATGGTCCTGCGCAGGCGCCGATCCACAAAGTGTGCATCCCAGGCTGGGTAGCGCTTTCTGGGCATGTCTATCTTGATGAGAGGACCCTCAGGTTGGATGGGCCTGCCGGCTGCATCTACAGGCTCTGTGGACCTCACCTGGAAAACCGGAAGGCAGGTATCCGTGGCTGTTTCATCTGACTCAACATATTCCCCTGCCAGACCTCGTGTTGGGGTGGCCTGAGAGCCTCGGGGGCCTGGTGTGGGAGCCATGGGCTCAGCCTCGGGGGGTAACGGAAGGCCCCACAGCAGCTCAGCACAGCAGGAGCTGGCCAGCACCCTCAGACGGGGGCCCATGGGGTGTAGGACCCCATAATAGAGAACCATGCAGGCCACACCCGAAGCAAAGCACAGGAAGACGCCACATAGGGCAAAAGAGGCATAGGCGTCAGTGGTGGCTGGGTCGCGGTACGCATACCAGAGGGAGCTGAGGATGGCGTTCTCCAACAGTACTACTGTGTAATAGGCCACCATTCTGTACCGCGTCCGGCCCTCACGTACATTAAACCAGCAGAAGACATAGACCACTCCCACCACCATGTTGAACAATACCTCCTCCCACTTGGACATGCAGAAGTCGGTGCCGCCATGGATGACCCAGAAAGCCATGGCACACCAGTGGAGCACCACAAAAATGCCAAAGTAGATGTGGAAAACAGAGGCAAACAGGGCAAAGGAGAGCACCCTTGAGGAGATGGTGAAAAGACGCCAGAAGAGGTGCACCAGGGCACCACGGTAACTCATACTCTTCTTGTCATCACGTGAATCTCGCAGGAGTTTGTGGTAAGAGGCTAGCACCCAGGCTAAGGACAGGAGGGAGGACATGGCAGAAAAACCTGGGGATATAGACAGACAGTAAGAGTAAAAGAAGAGAAAGACTAAGAATGAGAGATACTGATATTTGACACTAAAAACATCTGCAATTGTAATAAAAATCTAGTTTCATCATAAGTTTAAAGCATAAACTAATTGCGGTTTTATCTTGACAAGGCTGCCACACCACTTCACTGTGTACAGTATTGGAATAATTTCCGCCAAGGCAAAGCCATCCCCTCTTTCAAAAGCATATTATTACCAAGATCATCACAGGTCATTCATTCAACACAGTTTCTATTTAGTGCACCAATTCAGTTTCCGTAAGACATGTATAATAGTAGAGCAGACAGATATGTCGGAGCAGTAACCTGCTGCATGAAAAACGATAGAGGATTATCTGCAGCAGCATGGTGTCTCAGAAAACGTATTGATGGCATTTCTATAGACACTCCGACAGAGAAGGGTATCCCTTGTTATGATTGAATTGCCTTCCTAAGGTAACTACTTCATGAGGAAACTGGAATAGTAAAATCGGTTTCAATAGAAAGAGAAATAAGTATTGAAAATTGATACAATGATGGTGAATATTGCACGCTGTGAATAAAGTAGTATGTGAACTTTCACAGAAAAAAACTATTGTTGTACAATGGTGTAAAATATGGAAGCATCTTGACATTATGCGATAACCACAGAACGAGTATGACGTATGATTCAAAAAAAGAGAGACATGAGACATGTTTTGAACTACACACAAACCAAATCAGACTTGTGTAGAGCCTTAGGAAAGTCCTTACACTGCAGCCACTCAGCCTTGTTGCTCTGGATGATGATGCAGAGCTGCAGCACCAGCTGAGGGGCACTTTCCAAGAAGGTCTCCAGCAGTCGCAGCATGTTGACATCGGCATACTCATACATCATAGCCCAGTAAAAACGCCTCTGGTTCTCCTTCTGCCGGTGACTTTGTATGCCGAGGTACATGGTGCGTATGTACCTACGGAGAGACAAATAGGAGGGAGGGTTAGACAATCCAAAATGTTCTGCTGTCGTCTATTAAATAATTTATAAATCATGTTAACTGAAAAAGAGAGTGATGTTTTGCTGCCCAAAGACATGCAGTGCACAGTCACAGTTAAACTGCACATGCTTGACTTTTGACAACACTAGAGGGCATGCTTTGCTAAATTTTTAATACATAGAAAATATAGCCATCTGTATTAATAATGAACACAACTAGCCAATACAGCACAATATAAGCAAGAAAAATAAGCACAAGCAGAAGTGGGGAAAAAAAACATGCAAAAAGAAGTAAGGAAAAAAAACAAGATTAAACTAAATTAAACCTCAAAACAAACAAACAAAAAAGCTTAATATTGCCTCTTCTGACTCATACACTGTCAGTTTCCATCCTCATTTATTATCAGGTTCCGAATGAGTCAAGTGTGGAAAAAAACAAACAAGTGACTGAACTTTACTCCGTAGTAGCACACGGTGCCCTTTGTAAAGCAGTACTGACAGAAACTGCTCTGGCATCGCCTCATTAAAAACATTTGATTATCGTCCCTATGGCCTCTCAAGGTGTGGTTATTGAACTTGTTGTAGAATGCATGTAATAAACAAGGCAATAATCATTCTCGTAAGTGCACCACATGACCCATATAGTCCACTGCAGCAGCAGAAGGTATTTTCATAACTGATGGGGCTCTCATAATGGTGGAGTGACTCTGGTGAAACCAGGGAGATGGTAATGCAGGCAAAAAGTGGCAGCTAATTGAATCAAGCTCCTTTTGTAATCTCATCTCTAATACTGCTTCTTTTTTCATTTTTAAAAGGGTCATGACAAAGAGTTATTGAGTACAGCTGAGCAAAAGTGTAATATGCTGAGGGCTGTGATTTAGCTAATTGAGATTGTTATCTTCTTTGAATATGGATTTGTTTAGAAATGTAACGCTGTAGTTGAATAAGATGAAAGCATAACAGCTGTCAAGCAGGATTTTAACCTCCTCTAACATGTTAACCCAAGTCTGGCTGTAGAGATAAACAATCACTGAAACTAGTTTTACAATTATAGCGCTTTATAGTTATCTTAAACGTGACTCCAGTCATTGTATATTGGGTAGTAGCTGCAGGCTCTATCTGCCTGAGCTGGCAGAGTGGCCAAATAAATCCAGCACTTGATGTGAAGTCAGTCAAGCGAGGACAATAGTGTAGCACGGACAGAAATAGACTAGACAGTAGCACTCACCAAAACAAATTGAGAGGCCATGGATCTAAATTCAGTTCCTAAAAGTGTGATGCAAATTCACTGCAGCATGACAAACAAACAAAAGGCAGAAAATGAGTGGTTTTCAACATAATTAGCTTCTGCATTAGCTGTCGGGAAAGAGATTACTGTTTAATTTGAAATGAGGTTGAGAACATAGCACTCTACAGAATGCATCATTTAGTAGTGTCTGATAGCTTGGTTATTGTTTTGAATGATATTTAAGCATGAACTAATTTGTCTTGGAGACAAAACAGCAATTCAAGACTTTCAGTTAAATGTTACAAAACCAGGGAACATTTGGTAAATGTGGAAGCCCTGAGGGAAAACTGATAATCTCCACATACACTTTATTTTTTCTTCTGGCCATGAGAACATGGTTTATTTCTTTAATTTTGAAATATATGCTCAGATCTTAAAAACTTGAATTTGAGGTTGCTATTTTTGCAGGAAAACAGAATTATTTATTCATTTTTAATGAATAATTAATTATTTCTTGACCAAAAAAATTATCTGGTGAGGCAGAAAAAATATTTAAAAAATTGATATTTTAAGGAACAAAAATAGTGAAATCGATTGGTCCTTTTTTACTATGCTTACTCTACTATATATACTGTAACAAACTCCTCCCCATGGAAGATCTATACTTCATTTAGCACTGTTATAGAATCCTCTCCCCTCTGAGCCAAGTCTGCTAATGCACAGAGTGATGAAAAACAGACAGGTGTGGCAGGGAAGTTTTGGCGCACAGGGATGACAGTCTTTCTCGGGACAGTGGACAGGGCGAACAAGAGAGGGGGCAAAACCGACAACAATATTTTGGGGATCAATAGCTCTGGGCTGTAAGAGGCACCATTGTATCTAGAGGTAAAGGCTGGCATTCCGTGACATTTTCAGTCAGAATGGTAAATGTCAGATGGAACCAGTCATCCCCCTCTCCCTCACTAATGACATGCCACAGAGACCTACACAGGCCCTTTGTCTCCATCCCCCAATTTCCATTAGTCTGTGTTCCACTGATACGTCTGACTGGTCGGTGGTGCCACCGTCAGAGGCCCAGTGATATTCATGGACTCTGTAGATGTCTAACTTTAAAAAAGAAGAGTCCACCACAGGCACGCTTTGAGGCTGCACCGAGGAACAGCGGGGCTTTGAGCTATACTGTTAGCATGCTCTCAATATCAATGATTACATGCTGATGTTTAACATCTTATTTAAGTATATTAGCATGCTGATATTTGTTGGTTAGCACTAAACACATACTGAGGCTGATGGAAGTTTCAATAATTGTTGTTTTTTTAATTTATTTGTCATAAACCAAATTTTGAAAATTAAACTTTTTTTCTGATGGTGGCGTTTGAAGAAAAGTTATTGAATTTGATTCTGTAACCAATTGTATCTCATTTGATCTAATAATTGAAATTTGCCTTAAAAGCATCAATATGAAACTCATGGTAGTACTTAAATAAAAGTGAGGGGATCATGAAAATCTTATATTAATTGGACATATATTCAAGAACTAAGTATGCAAATTATGAGATATTTCCCAAATTAAGTGAAAATTTTGACCTCTTGGTGGCGCTAGAGGGTGGAGAAGGAGAGCCTCCAAACTCATTAGGAATCATATCCTTGTCATCATGGGTGTCTGAACCAATTTTCATGGCAGTGTAATGTGGATAGAACATTTTACAAAAAGCCAAAAATATCAAACCTTG